GGGGGAGCTTTTGGACAGCTTTACCGGTAAACGGTAAACTTTGTACTAGATTCTTAGCAGGGCCAAGATTTATGGCATGTGCGATATTCAAGCGAATCCATAAACGAATCCATAGTGCAATAGCATTGATAACAAAGCAAATTGTTGTAGCAAAAGTTCACGTTTTATGTTTATCTATTTACATAACTTAAACACATAGAAATATTTGTTAATCCAGCAACTAGTCGCACGTCATCATCCATAGTGGCTGTGGCCATATCCGGGCGAGTGATGACTGTGATGGTAATGATGATGGTGTGGATAGTATACTGGCGGCCGTCCATAGGGCACACCCACACCCACACCCACACCCACGGGCACCGGCACAACCACCACATGAGGAGCGGGAAGTGCTCCAACTAAGCCCAACAAGAGCACAAGCAAAGCGATCACAGACTTCATGCTTTTGGTCAAGATTTCACAACGAACTGATGAGAATTTGGAGGCGCACTTGGGCTTTTAAACAAATCTGTCTCTGGGTTTTTGGGTAAACCTCTGCCAGGCGTGGACAAACAAAGTGCGAAAACAAAAGTAAATTTCACCCAGCAAATGGTGTGAAACGATTGGAGATGGGATTTACCCCCGAGTATTTGCTTTATTTAGCATAGCAAACTTTTGACAATTAAATTAAACCCCCAGTCTCCTGGGGTGGAGTGCAGATGGGGAACAACAGTCTTTAGTTACCCCTTGAAGTCCAAGATGTGGGAGATTTGACGCTTCACAGGCGAGGAATCACACCGAATAGTAGCACATTCCAAAGTCTGAAGCAGATTCTTGTAAGTACGTTCCTGATGACGCTGGTACATATATTTGAGGTGTTAATTGAGAGAGGTAGAGCAATGACACAGCAATGAGCACTCACCAAAGTGTCCAAGTTGATCCAGCAGCATCATCATTGTGTGGAACGGGGTGGACTTCGGGTTCGATTTGCATTGAATCATCTCTGAAAATGTTTTTACATTTTTACCGAAACATATTGACAATATTGAAATCAATGTTTAGTCGTCGTAGCTTTGTGAAATGTGCATCATGTGCTCTGCTCTCAATTTGACAATTTACCTGCTGGTCATATGCTATTTTGTCCACAAACTAAGAGAAACTATTCCAAGTTCCCGTTACCAGAGCTTCGGTGAGCATGTACAATGGAATTCAAAGAGAATTTGTTTGACAATTTATGCATTTCAGTTGATTTTCGGACTGTACAAGCGATCTAATGGTTATAGACCATTCATTCCTTTAAAATTTCACTTTTACACATTTCACTTTCCAACATCCAAAGTAAACCGTTGATCACTAGAACACGACCAAGTGCACAGTTTTTGTAGACAAAATAATTAATTTTAGTTGTGCAAAAACAATAATTGATAAGTGCAATTAATCTCAGCAAATATGTAATATTTTATTTCTTTGAACTTATTGCAGTTCCGAATAGAGTTTCATATCAACCAGCTTTAAAGCAAGCAGCTGTAAGCTCTTAACACGAAGCTATCAACTAAAGGTACGAAAAATTGGCGCAGTGGTGACAACCACCTCACAGCAGACACTACCAGAAATGTTTTAGCAGATACAACACTCTGGGAAGGCTATGCCATAAATGCACACCATTACATTTGTACATTTAAGTTTCAGTTGGAAATTTAAAAATGGACATTTCTGATATGTACCACAGCAGGATTGCTTCTCTGTTATGATTCAACAGTCTGTTAACTCACTGTTCGCCCACATTACTCTCTCTGTCATCCCATGATATATTCATTAATTAACCCGTTAAATAAATGAAAATAAAACTAAACTAAGCGTAAATGCTTAGGAAGTGTATGAATGCTGTGAGAAGAGCTGGTGCTTTGTTCCTGGTCCAGGCACCACCTTTGCCCTTACCATTAGCCAAACAACAATTGACCTTTGGCTGGCTGCTGTGATGGAGTGGTGTGAGGTTTCCTTGCGTTTTAGCCTCTTTGAAGCGTCTGCTTATGGGAGTGTGCGTGTGCATGTGTGTGTGTGTGTGTTGGCTAAACTTTAAATTGTCCAAATGCTACGTGCCCCGAATGCGGAGTTCATAAATCCAAGCGCTAAATGTAAACATCAACAGTTGCGCGCTCGTGGGAGGGGCTTAAGTACGGGTACGGCAGCAGCAGCAGCACCAGCAGCAGCACCAGCACCACCAACAACAAAAGGAACAACAGCAACAACAAACAACCATAAAAGCAACACCAACAATTACAACAACAGCAGCAGCAGCAACTACAACAATGATGATGGCGAAAACTTGCAAAGTTCAAACACAAACTAATGCAGCAGCGGGCGGCGGGGAGAGGCGGTGGCGGCGGGTTGAGGAACAAAAGCCAAAGCATGAAGCAATGCGAAAGAGTGTGAATGAGGGTTACCTACCCCAGAGTACCCTCTATATGCTAGACTAACCATCACTGCAGACCACTCTCTTTGCTCTCCCTGCCGCCACCCACACCACACTCTACTTGGGGGCCACTTTCATCGTTGTTGTTCGCTTTCCTGGCGGGGGGTATTATGCTTTCCACCATATTGTTTGCAACTCTAATACTTAGTTTGAACTAATCTAAGATCTAAGACCTAACGGATCTAACAGATCCGTAGTAGCAATGATCGACTTGTTAGGGTATTCAAAGCGTCGCTCACGATTGGTCAACCTTTTCTCCTGTTTGTTTTGGTTATTCTTGTTGGTACGCTTAATGCGCGATAGCCAAATGTGTGTGTGTGTGTGTGTTGTGTCTAGGTGCTGGATCCATGGGCTTCCTGCTGTAGTCCGTCTCCCTCCCCTGCCATCATGTCCGATCCAAGAAAATAAAATAAACTCGAGTTTTGTTTTCGTTTGTCGTATAAGCAAGGGCTTAAAGCTTACGCCTTCGTCCTACGCATGTGGCCAGTGGTAATGACCTCGACTAGAAAACTCCAGACCACCACCCACCAAACACACCACACATGCACGAGTGTTGCTGCTCGTTGCAGTTGCACAACTTTTGTTAGCTGTTGGCCAGAAGAGGGTTAAGTTCCGATAATTATGGATGCAAAAGTGGAGCAAAAACGAAACGAAACCAAATGAAACTGGAAGTGGAAGTGGAAGTGGAAGTGTAAAAGTGTAAAGTAACCCAGAGAGCAGCACTTAAAGCTATTTACCTGCCTGCCACCACTTTTTGCTCCCTCTTATTCATTTTTTTTAAACCCATTTGCCCCAGTGGGATACTTAATTGAGTTGCACTGCGAAAATAACAGACTCGCATATCATTTAGGATAATTGGGATGAACATGTGTGAGGGTTCAGCATATTTATGCCATAAATCTATTCCTTTCATGGCCCTGAAGTTAAATGAAACCCAAGAGCGAAGCGCTGTTTCCATATTCTCAGAACTCCAAATGGAACTAGCACTTGCTCACACACTAAAATATCCATTTAAATCACGGGAAAAACGTCGCAAGAAACATAAACCGTGGAGTATCTAATCTAGACAGGGAAATGGGCCTGATAAGTCTCGCCTTTCGAGTGGCCTCTTCAGTGAATTACGCCTCTATCAGATCTACTCGTTCGAGGAGTCTACAGAAAGTCTGTTGGAATTAAATCTATGAGGGCTTTAAATCAAGCTGAAGAACCATATTGATTAATGAAAATATTTATTACGCTGATTCATGTGGGGTGAATGGAAGATTGCAGATCGTAAATCACAACTTAAAAACACAGACAGAAATGATTGTTGACCTTTCACTTTCGTTGTAAAAATATGAAATTCCATTGAACCCTCTGCTGGATGGCCCTTTGCTGCTTTCCTGGTGACATCCAAAATGGAATTTGTGCTCCTAATTGACTGCTGGCCCCACACTATTTCTTTGATTCGAAATTCCAAGTTTGTCTGCGCTTTTGAATGCATTTCCGGAATCCACTTCGGGGCGGAGACTATTTCCTTGGAACCAACACCCCACGCTATCTATCCATGGGGGCGTAGAGAGTGGGCTGTTCCATTTTTGGCATGCCGAGTATTGGCCGGGGGCAAACAAGGTGCCAAGGACATGGCTGAAAGGAAATCTCCGCCTAATTTAGACAGTGTGTACAGTAAATATGCAAACAAGCCGCTAAATTGGCATAGAACAAACAGAAACTCTGGCAACAATCGAAGTACCGAGCCACAGAAGGACAAAGGGACAACGGGACAAAGGGGAGTGACACAACAAGAGACACGAACACACACGTGTAAATCAACGATACTTGAGAACCTGTAGTCGAGTGTAGGAGAAGTGTAGTGGCTCTTGTGTTGGCACTCGACAAATATCAACACATGAATATTTCACAGGAACAAAAAGAATGATTGGGAAACGTGCAGTGGATCCAGTGGATTCTTTGCCAGATAATCTTATCTACAAGGGGGGTTTCCTGCGAATTAAATTAATTGAGTGGCAAATATAGATTCAGCTAGAAAAACAGAACCACTGGCGCCACAAATCGTACCAAATTTATGGAAACAGTTTGCTGGATTAGTTGTCTATCAGCCAATTGCTTATCATTTTGCACTTGCTACGCAGGCGGACAGGTGGATAGCCGGACACTTGGGGAGATAATCAGACAGACACTCGAACAATCGTAAAGGTCTGGAAGCAGGCCCTAGGAACAGCGCACACTCCCACAGGTGTCACTTGTGCAGGTGCAGAGGCGAACCCCCCTTACGGGCGGACACTTGCTGGGGCGGATATTTGGATAGGGCGGGCCAAGAAATACCTGTTGTTCCATTTGCATGCATTTCAAGTGCACCAGCAGCACTGAGCAGCAACATGCCCGAATGTTGCCCAGCAACATCCCAGCAGCCTCAGCAACATTTGGTACCCGAACGCTACATCGGTTCGGGGGCTTTGAAGTTTTGTGGGCGTTCGGCTTGTGATTTGTTCGTTGCGTTTGGCGCTTTTCGTTGGGGTCGCTGCTTGGTCGTCTGGTTGTATGCTTAGTGTCTTGGCGCTGCTACTGCTACCACCTCTGCCGCTGCACAGTACGTTTTTGTTACTCGCACGGTGAACAACGCGGCGCGCTTGCGTCTCTGCTCTGTCCATTGCATCGCTTCGCACATCGCACATCGCACGGCTGTCTTCTGTCATTCGAAAGTGTCGTCGTCTCGTCTGGCGCTGTTTCGTCTCTTGTGCAGCGAGCGCCGATCTACCAATCTTCCAAGTAATACATAAATTAAGAGCAGAGCCATATCAAAAGCCAAACGAAATCATTAAAATGTATAAATAAACGAAAGAAGAAAACCTGATTTCGCACAGGGGCGACGATCTTGCATACGATCCCCTGATCCCACGGCCAAGATGATGATGTTGCCAGTGAGAGGCTCGCCCGACTGCATTCTTGCATCACGTGCGTCAGAAACTGCACTACACAGACAGACAGACCACCCCACTTTCAAGGCAAACCTTTGCGCAGCGATCTGCAGGCAGAGCAAAAGCCGAATTACAGTTGTTCTTGTTCTCGTCTCTTCTTTCGTCTCCTCTTTGTGCGTTAAGTGATTTGTTTTCGTTTCTCAATTGAACGGCTCCCAAGCTCTACAGGGCGTGTGGGGGTAACAGCTGGCAGCGACATACAAGTACTGATCGGAAAGAGACAGAGAGTGTTACAAGAGAGGGCAACCCAAAGAGCGGGAGAGCTAGAAAAAGTTTAGCTGCAGTAGAAATGCATGCAAATCATACGATCGATCGATCAGTGGCGGCGGCCCTTTGGAAAAGTGTGCAATTTCTTCACATGGCTGTTTCTAGTTGTTCTTGCTTCGCAAGTGGCTAGTATTGGTGCTGTTGCACCTGAAATTGATTAAATTATAAGTGCAAAACAATGCACAATGATGTGTGTACATACCCGTAGGTACACAAATGTCTGTTTAATTGCACACAATGTCAATTTGATTGACTTTTCCATGTCGTTTTAGGGCGTTTCGTTGCAATATACTTGTTGCCGTATTATTATGCAGAACCTAATCGACTCCATAGATCAATTTATTCCTATGGTAAACTAGTCTCTATCAAAAAAACAAGTTTTGCTCAACAATTCGTATGTACACACAATTTCCATTAATTGTGCTGTAAAGCGGAGGATTACAACTTTTCCTATGTTTGACATCATAAATATTGATATAGAAGAGCATCTAAGCCCTCGACTTTGACTGCCTGCATTCCGCTCATTCTCTTTGAGTTATTTCGAGTATTTTTCTATGATTTGCCATCAAAATTGGCCAAAACCCTGACCTGTGGACACAGAGCAAGTGTGACTGCGAGTATTTGCTGTTCCCATCAATCCATCAATCGCCCCTCAACGAGGCATTTGAAAAGTGTTTTTACGAGTGTTGGTGGTGTGGTGGTGGTTTGGTGTTTGCTTGTGCATTTATGGGCATTAAATGCATCTGTCGCGGCTTTCATCGTTCACACATTTATTTGCATTTACACATCGCAAATAATAACTTAAAAGCCACACAGAAAAAACCAATTTGGCACATTGGCAACATTTAAACATCAACACTGATTTTGCTGCTGATTCTCTGTTCATGTTTTGTGTCTCCCCTTGATGCTAGTGCAGTTTATGAGAGTAGAGTGCAGCAGAGGGCCTATCAATTGTGTGAGTGCATTTGCACAATGCTTTCAATTGATTTTCATTGCAACAACTTGACCATTTGCATGTAAATTATTTGTGTTTGGGCAATGAAACATCGACAATAACATCTAGAACCACACTCTGCACAGTTAGTCATTTAGTCATGGATCTGCCTCAAAGCAAATTTCAACCTGTGTGCACGCCACATTTGCGGCAATAATTGGCAAAAAGAAAAGGGTAAAAATACTCGCCCAAATGGCCGTTCGTCAGCCAGAAGAAAGAATATTAGAAGGAACCCCCAGACCCAGACCACAGAGACGAACCACTCCGATCGAAAGCAAAACAACCTCTGACGCTGTGCTTTCGCTTTTCGAGAATATTTTTAGATCCATTCTTTGTCTTCTTTCTGGTTTTTTGTTTTACTTGTTCATAGAGTCTTCTCTCTTCTGCGTCTCGCTGATCGTCTCATATAAAAAAATGCAAAACGCCCCACGTATAAATAATGAATAATGAGAGAATTGTGCCAACAACATATTAAAACCATTGAGGCGACACAAAGCTGTAATTTGTCATAAATATTTTGCATATTTGAAATATCAACTCCCCTCTCCCCTTTGATTTATTTCTACAACGAAAAACCAGTTGCGGTGCAGCAAACAATTCCATTCAATACCTGAACAACAGAACGGCGGGAAAATGCATTGCAGTTGGAATTTCAACAGGAGCTGGACTTTGCTATGGATGTCGGGTGAGTGAGCTTAGATTCTAAAACGTAGATATAGCTAGAATCATCCGACGGAATGGGTTATCTTAACGTCTGAGCCTGACCCGACCCGAGCTGTCAGTTCTGCTTCAAATACATTAAATCTCTCGCCTGAACTGGCGGAATACAAAAAGTTGGCGAAAAAATTTATGAAATGCCAATTTCACTTACGCTTAACTTTATTACCCCTGACGCACATTTGCAACTTAGTTGCAACTGACTGTTTGACTGTGCGGGCCACACAGCAACCCGTGCCACCTCCCCTCTGGGTTGGTCGAGAGTCTCAGATTGCCTTTTAGCTTTCAACTTGAGCACTATTTCAATGTTTCTGTTTGTTTATTTGTCTCCCACTCCAACACGCTCTGGCATGGGCACTCCTCTCGCCCTCTGCTTTCTCCACTGCTCGAATTTCCAGTCCTGATGCTGGCGCTGGCCGTGGAGGTACGGTCCGAGGAGTGCGGCCAGGAGGAGTTCACCAAGTGCGCGGAGCCACTCGAAATGCTGCATTTAACGCCAGAGTTCTCGATTGGCCCCGCCAAACGAGAGGAACTGGAGAAGCTTTGCCAGTAAGTGTGTGAACCAGGGAAAAGTTTTCCCCCCAGAGATAATCTCCCATCCCATCCGATCCGATCCGATCCGATTTGATCTTCCAGCGAGCTGCGGAAAGGTGTGCGCTGCATTCAGAGTTACACGCGACGCTGCATGGACCTGCAGCAGAGGAACCAGTTCAACAAGCTCTACCACGGCACCAACCAGTTTATCCGCGATCTGTGCAACAAGGGAGAGTTCCAGGAGGGTAAGCTGCAGCCCAAAACCTACGCCACAGATCTGTTCTAGCTAGAGATATACCCCCTGTAGAGTACCTGAAGCACGTGCCCTGCTCGGAGATGGCCAAGAAGGAGTTTGAGGTGTGCGCCACGCGCTACAAGGAAACGATGGTCTTCCTGAAGCCCAACAAGAACCAGGAGAATGCCGAAAATGGCACTCTCAATGAGAACATCAAAACGATTTGCTGGTGCGTACAGCTAAAACTCTCCCGAGTATTCCTTCTTACAGCTGTATACCCTCACAGCTCCATCAACGAACTCGTGGACTGCTCGGAGATGGCAGCTCGCCGCATCTGCGGCAATGAGGCGGCCAAGTTTACGCGGGAGCTGGTCGATAAATATGCCAACAGCTTGACCAAGGTAAGTGGGAAAAGTCTCTGCATAGGGAAAACTTGATCCTTTCTCTATTTTCGCAGACATATTGCGAGGACTACACCCGGAATCCAGGCCTCTGTCACGACGATTCGCGCAATGCTGCATCTCGGGTGCAGAGGAGCAGTCTGCTGCTGCTGCTGCTAATAACAACGACGCTGGCTGCGCTGCTGGTCAGCAGCTGGCGTAGCAGCAGATAAACAGCCAGGCCACAACTACAGCTAAGTTCAAGACACTAAGTTCACACACACAGCAGAAAAGGAGAGCAAAATAGTTAAGGTTTCCCCCCTGAAGCACAAAAACAAACCCAAAACACACACGCAGCAAGAATTCCACACCCGGTTGCATACTTTTGAGAGTCAGTTTACGCCGCTTGAGAGTACTAAAACTAACTAAATGTTACACCTAGCAGATAGGAGGGATATTTGTATGGCAGTGGAGAAGAGTGAAAAAGAGTATTACCAAAGGGTCGTACCATGTTATAGGGCATATCGAATGCCACTAGTTAAAGGGCGTAGGCTAGCAGCTGTAGTTAGTGCCAGTGTTGAGGAGGAGAGTTAGTTGCTTTACCCACCACCCAACCCCCATGTCGATCGTGCAATATCTAGCGTTGAGTTAAGTTTCGTTGAGTTTTGTTAGAGAGTTTTTAAGTGTAGCACATAATTGATTAGTTTCTAAGTCCCCCCCGCGATATCCCAGCAACAAAAAGTGCATTTCTTTGAATGGAAATTCCACAATTGTGTAGATCATTTATAGATCCCCGTCTAGTGGTTAGCGTTTATTTATTACACACACTGTAAATACCTTCAGGCGTACTCAAAAAGTTGATCAAGATTATTGGTCAAAGCATATGGAAATACAACACTAATATAAATATCAATAAATATAAATAAATATTAGTTTAACTTGAATACAGAACACACACACACACACACACACACATAAATGCCCACAAAACTGTGAATATATCTGTTATGATTAAAGAGTAACATTTATTTTAAGTAAAACACACAAACACACACACCACACACCACACACGAATGCGTAAGAAAGAATAAAAAGGAGACTACAAATATAAATGAACAAAAAATGTGTAAAAGCGAGAAAGACAGACAGAGAGAGGGCGAACAGAGGAGTGAGAATGGGAGCAAGTGAAAATAAAATAAAGAAAACAAGAAAAACAAAACGAAACGAGAGGGAGAGCGTGCCAAAAATGCTTTTTACTGCAGGATAAAACCAAGCGGCGCCAAAAAGTATGCAGCGCGCCGCAGTCCGCCACCCAAAAGTATGCTGCGCAAATATGCAACGGGGTTTTGGCTACCACGAATAGGGTAATGGCGGCGCTGTGATGATGACTCCAGCAGGGTGGGCAAGGCAAGAGCCGAAGGCACTGCACTGAGGCTGGCCATAATTTATGTTTATGTGGTGCGCGCTCGTTCATTAGACCAGCAGCGTGGACCCTGCACCCTGGACCCTGGAGCCAGCAGACAGCAGCTAGGATGCTCGGTACGCCGCTGCAGGTTGACTTCTCGCCTGGCAGCTAATTTATAAGGTCGCCACATGGCTCAAGGACATGCTTATAGAGGGCAGGGCTCGGGGGTATGTAATAATTATAGTTATCATTGTGGGCCAGCGGCTGCTCCATTTGCATTTGACATTTCGCAACCATGTTGAGGCATCGATTTCGAATCGTATTTAAGCGCCAGCTGAATGCTACGAGAGAGCAACACTCAACCGCTTGAAAGCGGAGGCTTCAAGCAGTTATAAGGTAGGCTTGAGATTGTCCGCCTTTCACTTGCAAAAATGAAAAGGCTTTCGTTAAAGTCTTTCACTTACCCAATTATAGGTGGGCCTCTATTTGAATTGGCAGCCAAGCTGCAGCTGATTGCAGATTGGTGTTGGAGTTGGCCTTTAATTGATTGAAAGCATATTCAAATGACGATTGCAAGCAGAAACCCAATAGGCCGGGGCCAAGGGTTTGCTGCAAGAGCTCGAAGATGCTCTCAAATTTCTCTAAAATGTTTGCCAAGTCTCTTTTGGCAAGGACTCTACACAGTCTACTCTCTCTCTCTCTCTCTTTTCTCTGGCTAATGAATATGTCCTGTTGCTTGGCCATTCTGTTGTGCTTTTAACAAAAAAGATCTCTCTCTCTCGCAATTGCATTTCAATAAAGACGATTTCGAGCAAAAACGCTTAACAAATCAATGACTGAGTGCGGTGTGGGTTAAGGGGGGAGTGGACTCTGGGTTGCAGCTCGATTGCAGCTCAAATATTTACGTTTCCATTTGGAGATGCCCCAGGTGGTGGTGGTGTGGGATGCTCAGGTACTTCCCAGAGAACTCCTCCAATCCAGAGTCATTTTCAACTTCATTTGCTGTGCAAATAGGCGAAACGCATTGCCATTTGCCATTGCCAGTTCTCCTCTCTCTCTCTCTCTCTCTCTCTCTGGCTTTTTCGTATTAATTTTGTAGCCATATTTTGTTTGAGCTTAGCAGACGATCTAAAAATCGTTTTTGCGGCTGACTCGAGCATCCTTTTGGGAATGCCAATTGCCAATGCCAATCTACACTTCGCAGAGAGTATCTCCATTCTGCAGATACTCTGGTTGTTCCACGAGGCAATAACAGATTCCTTTTTTACCTGTGAAAGATGGAAATCAAATATTTATCTGTCATGTGAGAGGGCAGCTGAAGCTCCCAGCGGCTTCGTTTTCATTTTCGTTTAGCTCTTAATTAATTGAAAATATCCTTTTTGTCCATGTGTGTGTGTGTGTGTGTATGAGTGGGTACTTTGGCGTTCAAAAGGGGTAAAGGGGTTGGCGAAAAGAGAAACAGAAAGAGAAACACCAGCAGCAAGCAGCAGCAGCAGCAGCAGCAGCGGCGTCAGTGTTGGAGAGTGGCAGAAAGTGGCAAACAAATTGACAGCCAGTTGCCGTTGCCATTGCAGGATTCGCATTCATACGGCAATTGTCGAGTGGCGGCACTCATGCAGTCTGCTCTCCCCCTCTTCACACCCCCTCTGCATTGCTTAAACTATCTCTGGACTGCTGCTGTGGCATCCCTGGCGTTCTTTCACTCATGTTTAATCCTCTTTAAGCGGCAAACAGAACGATTACAATTTGATTTGCTTTCTTTTTACGCTTCCTTTTCGCTCTTTGTTCTTTGTTCTATTTGCACATTTCCGCAGCGACTAATCTGCAATTATGTTTTACATAAAAATCCTATCACATACAACAGCAGAGAGAGAGAGAGAGAGAGAGAGAGAGAGAGATGGCGGAGCGCGAGAGAGGCAGTGTGGTAGAGAGCGGTGGAGCTCGTGTGAACTGGCAAAACTTTTCACAAACTTTGTTCAGGCGCTGATTGTTTTCCCTGCTCTGATAGCCGGGCAAAATACAAATATTTAACAACAAAACAGCAACAACACAGAGGGAAGAGTGGAAGCAAGACGAAACAGTTGATACCCTGCAAATAGTCACTCTGCGTGCTGGCAAATGCTTTCTACACAGCGGTGCAAATGTCTGCTCGAAACCACAATGCCCCAAAGGTTAGCCCATAACTGGGGACAAACTATCAGGGACAAAGCTGGGCATTAACGCAGTGGCAGTCTTCCCGTCTTCTCGCATTAAATTCTCAATCTCAATTTAAATTCTAGTGCAGAGAGCAGAACCAAGCCCGAGCACAAGTTTAAGCCAAGATGCACAGCTTATGGCCATGATACACAACTAATTAGAGCGAATCACATGAGTAAAGAGGAGGAACGCAGCCAGTTGGGCAGCTGATGAAGAGAGCAACAAGTGCAGGCCAAGGTGAGTTTACGTGGAAGGTGGACCAATAACTTATTCAGCCAAGCGCTGGAAAGGGATAGGAAGCAGACGTCACCTTGTGTGTAAATTCCCCTTGCTGCAGTCTGTTTATTATGCAATGAAATGTAACAGTTGGAGCGAACTGTCTCTCTTGCTGCGGATTGTCGGCCAGGGCTTGGAATGATGATACCCAGATAAGCATTCCTTGATGAATGGTTGCCATTTGAATAGGTCTGCCACTTGCAGTGCAGTTCCCAAATAGAATTCGCACAGGCAAACAACTAATTGGCATATTAATCACGGGTCAAAACAATAATTGCAACCTGCTGCAAGCTGCCGAAGCTCTCTGCTCATTTAATAACTATTCCCGTAGCTGAATAGTGAGTGGCAGAAAATGGGAAATGGTAAATGGGGGGGAAATATGAAACGGGAAACCCTCTTCCACTTTGACCAAAGCCAACCCAAAAGCCATTCGATGCATTTAGAAGCATTTATGTGTCGAGTCCTTCTGGTGCCGGTCCTGGTCTCTCTCTACAGCCCCTCATCATATTCACTTTGAGTTATTTTCGTTTCAATTTCAATTGCAAGTCACTTGGAGAGATTAAATGGGGTAAGGTAGGGTCCTGGTATGGGTACGTGTAGTGGTCCTGCTCCTGCTCCTGCTCCTGCTCCTGCTAGACTCTGAACGCCATAAATGCGTTGTGGTTGATAGGTTGTTGCCCCCACACAGAGCAGGGAAAGGGGGAAAGGGGGCAGTGGCAGCCTTGTCAGCTGTTGGCCAGCAGCTGGATTCGCTTCTCGAATGCATTTCGTACATGATAATGCTGTTGCTGCTCGTCTTGTTGCATGCGTTGCATTTGCAATCCTGTGGATATTGGGGAACTGTGGGCTGTGGGCTGTGGGCCAGCGGTGTAGGCCGTGAGCCTGTCTCGATGCCTTGCCTCTCTCTCTCTCTCTGGCTGTGGCTGTGGCTTGTCGTGGTGTGGTTTATGGCAACATCTTGTCCAATTTATTACCACTTTCATTTGGTAGCATAATAGGCAATGCACACACACACACACACACACACACACACGCATGCAATTGCGGCTTGCAACTGCTGCACACATCTACAAACATATATCTATAACACGTAGCACTCAAAAATACTCAAACATTGAAATTGGAGTTCTCATTCCGCTCGCTTCCATCTCTCTTGTCTGTCGTCTCGTTTCTGCTTCATCAGTTACATGCTTTGAATAATTCAAGCGTATTGCTCGGATTGCCCCCCTCCCGGCTCGTGTTCGTTTATTCGTAGGCCTTTTGGGCCAAAAATTCCAAATGTTTTTTCTGTGCCGTCATCGCTTAGCTGTGCCCCTTGCTTCCTGCAGTTCCTGCAGATGGCGCTCGGTTGCTCTCAAAAGTAATTAAAATATTTGGAAATATAATACTTTATTTCTGGCTTCTTTTCATAAATGTTTGTGGCAGAGTTACTCACTTTGTGGCAGCTGGAAGATTTTTGATATTCATTTCAAATTTGTTGAGTGTAGGAGCCAGGGAAGAGTGCACTCCAATGCAGATCAGCGATGTCCCTCACCCTTAAAAAAAGAAGAGAAAAAAGACTATAATTAGATGGGTTTCCTACAGCTAAAGCTGAGCTCTTTTTTGGGTATTTTGTATATTTTCTGGCACACATTAAAGCCCGCCCACTCCCTTTCTTTGCCCCACTTCTGCTGCCCTCCGGCTGTGTCCAGTCAATTGAGTGCTGATTGTTGCACAACTATCGCATAATTATTGCATATTAAGCGTGAGCTTATTAGCATATTTCAGTGGGCATAGTGCATCATGGCACTGCCACGCTCCACAGGCTGTTGCCACGTCACATATTGCGTATACGCAGTGCTTGCAGCAAAGCCATTTCGCGGGCACATCCCCAGGCGCAGTTAGCGGCGAAAAACAGACGAAAAAAAGAGACCAAAATGTGCCGTCACTTTGGCGGCTGTTAAAAACAAAAACTCAAGTGTTGAAGGCAGCATGCACCCCACTCTTGCCACTCGTTGCTGCCTGCCACGCTCCCACTCTCTCTGTCTCTCTCTCTGTTTGTGTGGGTGTCTTTTGTGGCCTTTTAACAGCAACAACTCGAGGGCCGGGCATGGTGCTGGGGTAGGTGCTTTTTAATTGCACTGAAAACAAAATGCTAAACACTTGTTGGCTGCCGCCTGGCTGCCTTCCAGCTAGTTGCT